AAAAATTCTAAAAAAATTCTTTAAATTCTATGAGAAAAAGGTAAACAGTTTTTACTTATTGTTTTTCTATAAAATCAACAGCGCTTGAATACAAAGTTATTGAAAACCAATATATATTCGACGATTTTTTAAATTAATATCTTGTTAAAATTAATTATTACGAAAATTAGGAAATGATAGAGGATATTTCCAATCAGTTTAGTTCGCTCTATCAGCGCACAAATATTTGATGATCATTCTGGGAGAGAGAGCCAATATACTAACCTTAAGATAATTCCCCAAATCAGAGCACTTAAGATAATTACAAATTTTGAATGATTCTCCATAAATGTTTTATAAACAAAATTTATGTTAATAATATTAATAATATTAAGCGACCAATAACCAAGCAGCTCCATTGTTATGCATAAAAAAATGTATACAATCCATCCGATTATTATTCGAATTATCCAGTTATGCAGCCGTTGGTATTTCTTTGGCGCACCGAGTGCTTCCAATGTGTCGTCTACTACGGAAAGTTCATGCAAGCACATTTTCAATTCCTTAAAAAATCATATTGATCGAGTATACGACATAGAAAAATCATCTTGATTGATTATGCGACATAAAAATTATTATTACTTTATATTTGAATAAAAATTGTTATTGCAATGTGTATAGGTAATGTAATAAATAAAAAGTTATTAAAACTTGATTAGTATTTATTAAAACATAAGATTTAAAAAAGCTATGTTAAAAGCTAATTTAGGAAAGTAATATTTACAAATACAAGTATTAACGTTGCCAAACATATACCTATTTCAGCAATAATAAATAATAATATAAACATTAAAACTGATCTATTTAAAACTTTTTATGAAGAACGGTAGCAGTTTAGGGCCAAAATTTATCTGCGATGAAAACGTATGAAATTGGTCAATTTTTATAGATTTGGATATGCTAAACTCGAATATAAAGTTTAAAATTCTTCAAAGTCCGAGGAACTTTGTGAAAATGCAATTTTTCTGCAAAGAAGAAAAATACACCGCATGATGATTACTGAATTGAGTATCTCTTATTGTAAGCGATACTCAGTTTATAATAACTATCACACGATGTATTTTGAATAAAATTAATACTAATGAAAAAGCAGAAACGCACGCATGCCCACGCACATAGATATGGACATTCATCTTTGTTTTGTTTATGTTATTGTACGCAGTATTGACTTTTATATTGCAAACAAGTTGCAGGTTTTTAGGTCATATAGTTCATTAGTTTAGGTCATAGTCATTATAATAGAAAAAGAAATTTCTTATTCAATTACTATTTGTTCATCGGGAAATATAATATTTTGTTGCAAAGTAAAACTTAAAATATTCTAAAGTCTGGGGAATCTTAGAGAATTGTAAACTTCATATTCGAATTCAGCATGTCCAAATCTATAAAGATTGACCGATTTCATACGTTTTTATCACAGGCAAATTTTGCATCACAGGTCCTAAACTAGCATTGTTCTTTGTATTTACCTTGTGAAATCAAGACTTCTTTAATATCTTAATAAAGAAAATAATTAAATAAAGTTAAAGAATTTTATTAAATCAAATAATATTAGAAACTAAAAGATTGATGAATATGTATTAATGCGTTGAAAAATTTTTACCGTTAAATAAAAGTTGCTAGCAGCTATCGATCCAATCGCGGCGAACACTATTATCATATCCATCCACATTAGTATATTATTATCCCAAAGTGTGATATAGTATTCATAATAAAACGAATATGTAAAATAACCCCATGTGGTCAAGGTATACAGGCAGGACAGATACGGCCTTGGTTGTCCAAGAGGATATTCAAACCAATTCAAACTGCAGACCGATCCAACAATCAATAATGGTACCAATGTTGTATGTAGCGTCTTCGTCATAGTTTCTGAGCAATTGTCTAGTAATTTTAATTAATTTTTTTGCACGAGACAAATGCGTTTAATATTCTTCACAAGAATTTCAAAAATAGTTTGTTGTTACAAATGCTCTAGAAACTTTGTAAGAGGATGAAGTATATACAACTAACAAGTAACGAGCGACGGAATAAAACATATATGCAGATAAGTAATCTAGATTAGATTACTTTATTTTCGCGGAATTTTTATTCATACGTATGTATTATTGCACAGCATAAACAAATACAAACGTAACTTCTTTGTAATATTATATTATCTTTATTCTAGGTATTGAAAGATATATAATAGCATGGTGGAGAAAGACGTGTCTTCTTCCACTATGCATAATAGATGCTTTCACCATATATGGTGAAAGAAGACACGTGTCCTCTTTCATCATACATAATAAATGCTTTTTATTTACGTCACTTTTGAACAACACGTATACTGACGAGATGAAGCTGATAACTTCGATAAAGTTTTTATAATTAATTTAGAAATTAATGTACACACAATATAACGTTTCTCATAAATTAAACGTGCATAAAATTATTTTTGTATCAATAATATAATTTATTAAATAATAAAATAGAAACATAGAATTAAATAATAAAACAGACTCAAATAATAATACTAAAATAATAATAATAAAACAGACTAAAATAATATGTTATATATATTTGTGACATATATATGTCATATAATACATACAATTATATATGTCATACATAATTGTACATATTCTGATAGTATTCATTTTTGGAATATTAAAAGTTCCCTAATAAAATTAAGTAATTTTGGAACTGTCAGTAATAAAAGAAATATTTCTTTTTTGTTAATCTCCCATTTGATTGACCCTAATCATTATATATCTTATAGACATCATAATAAGAAGTTCAATCCTTTAATCTACTCTGAATTTATTTTGCAATAGTGACAAATTGACGTGTATTTGATATTAATTTTTTAAAATTAACCGATAATTGCATAGTATTATAATGTACAAGGTGCGTCCCAAAATTTTCCGAACTTTTTCAATAGGGATAGGTCGGGTGGCGCCATCCGTGTGTTCGATTGCGCGTTTGAAAGGTACATCCCTAGCTGACTTCCAGTAAAAATTTCATGACATTTGGTTCAGTGGAAACGAAGTTATGGCGTCTCAAGTGTCAATAATGTCAGTATGTTGTATACATCGGTACGAGAATGAACTTCGAACAAAGAGCCAATATTAAGTTTTGTTTTAAACTTGGTAAAACATTTACCGAAACCCATAATTTGATGAAACAAGTTTATGGTGATAATTGTGTAGCCCGTGCCAGTGTTTATGAGTGGTATACGCGATTCAAGAACGGTCGTGAGGACATAAATGACGACGCACATACAGGTCGCCCAAAATCGACAATTAACGAAAATTCCATCGAAGTTGTGCGTAATTTCATCAAGCATGAGCCAAAATCTTCAGTGAGATACATGGAAATGGAATTGAACATCCCCAAATCAACGATTTATCGCATTTTGACCGAACATTTGGGCCTACAAAAAGTCTGTGCACGATTTATTCCACACAAGTTGACTGACGACCAAAAAATGCATCGAATTCAACATTCAAAGGACATTATTAAGGAAGCAAAAAAGGACCAAAACTTCCTTTATAGCATTGTTACTGGTGACGAGACGTGGTGTTTTCAATACGATCCAGAAACCAAGCGTCAAAGCGCGGAATGGAAGGCGCGAAACGACCCAAAACCCAAAAAATCGCGTTTAGAGAAGTCAAAAGTGAAGACAATGCTCATTTGTTTTTATAATTCCAAGGGTATTGTGCACAAAGAATTCGTTCCAGCAGGCCAAACAGTTAATGCTGTATTCTATGTAAGCGTTTTGAAGCGTTTGGTGCACCGCATTCGTCGTATTCGGCCAGAATATCGCGAAGGAGGAAGTTGGCGCTTGTTACACGATAATGCGCCATCTCACTGTTCGACACTTGTCACTGATTTTTTGACTAAAAATCACATTTTAACAATCAACCATTCCCCGTATTCGCCTGATATGGCACCTTGTGACTTCTACCTATTCGGCAAAATGCATTTGTCCATGAAAGGAAAGCGGTATGTGGACGTAGAAGACATCCAAAGGGCTTGTACCACTATTCTGAAGGACGTGCCTTTGAACGACATAAAACACTCATTTGAAATGCTTTTAGATCGTGCCAAACGTTGTATTGAGTCCGACGGGGACTACTTTGAATAAACAATTTGAATTTGAAAAAAAAAGTAAACCGTTGTTGTTTTATTTCAAAAGTTCGGAAAATTTTGGGACGCACCTTGTAGATAATAATAAATTACATTTTTCAGATGATATCTTCCCTCTCACGGATACGATCTTGACATGATGGGAGGCAGCTCAGCCTGAGGATATCCACAAAAGGAATGGTTTTTTCTTAAATATCTAAAAAGTTTAGGATATATCTGAATTATATGTACGTCTAAATAAATTTTTAAATACTTGAATAAAATCGTTCTCTTCATGTAAAAATCCAATGGGGAAGCTATAACATACCCAGACGACATTCAGAATATATATACAATAAAATATAATTAGAAATAAAAATAAAAATAACACATATACTTACCCGCAAAAATAGGCTATGTATATACAGTGCCCCATTTTTTTACAAGCAAATATATTTATAAAGAAAAAGAGGAACGTGATAAAATCGGCGGAGCTGGTGGAGGACCTCTAGCTCGTTCTTGCTAAATGAAACTTTAAATTGATGAACAATGTATTAGGTGTTGGAATTAATTCGTAGCGTTTTACAAGTGATGGGAAGTACTTTCATTAATGTATTTTTTAATGCTCATGTGAAATAAATAACATTCTTTCATTAAAAACGCTACGAATTAATTCCAACACCTAATATGATTGGAAAAGTTCAAAGTATATTAAGATCTCTATAATTGCTAATAACTATAAATACATTTAGTAAAAACGAGCTAGTCTGCATTAAAAAGACATAATTTCATAATTCCATTTTTATATAGACACGTATTATAAAACAAAATTCACTAAATTAACTTGTTTAAATATTCGGTTATAAGTTTCTTAAAATTCAGCAACTTTTATTTTTATATTAGAAGATGCAAAATTTTCGTTCAAGAACCCCTCGTTAATAAACCCCTTATATTCTTAAAATATTTATTAAGTAAAAGTATAAACAATCTTATTGCAGAATCAGAATTCGAATTTTCTTGAATTATCTGTGAATTTTGTGTTAATATGTGTGCATTTTATATCATCTTTTATGGCCGTTATTATAGTCTATTCTTATTTTAACAATCTTAAATAATGTCTTAAGGTGCTATTACTTTCTTTTAATAAAATTGGCTTATGATATCTTAGGATTGCACTTAAGATGGTCTAAAATATAAGAATCGACTATGAGTATCGATCTATGAGATGATTTATTTTGATTTTGTGTTTCATTTTTTACTAAGAAAGATGATTCTCCAAAATCATGTTTTAAAGTATTATATGATGTTTTAGTTAATATCTTCTTGATTTTAACAATATCTAATAAATTTTTTATGTGATTATTTTTTCGTCTCACAGCAATTCTTAATATTTTTAATTGTTTTTCTTTTGTAACTAATTTTCTTTTGAATTTTTTTCTTTGTTCTTCAACAATACATTTCAACCTTGCTGTTTGACATTGTAATTTTTTTTCGGAAACATTTGCTTGAACTTGTATTTTTTCTTCTAAATTTATTTGCAAAGATTGTAATTTATTTATTAATTCTTCATTTTTTTTTTCTAATTTTTGGATTTTCATCTTCATCTCTTGAAATGTGAGTACATCATTCCGCTTCAATGTTTCACTTGTATTTGTTTCGTCTGTAACAAAAGTAAATAAAATTGCAAACAAAAATAAAAATACTACAACACATATAATGAATTCGATCACTCGCACTACACTGAATCAGTACATATTAAAGACTAATTTATAAAGTATCTCAATGCATTGATTGATAATATAATTAACTTTGACAATAAAATGATACATATATATTTTGTTAAATAATGTAACAATATTATTAATAGATAATTTAAAATATTTATATACTTTTACATTTAACTTTGGTAATTTCATGAAAAAAAAAACAGCTTTCAATATGCACTGATCTAACGTAATGCAAGTGACCGAATTCGCTAATGGACACATATAAAAATCTCTAGCTTACATATAGAATTTTGTATTTCATTTTCTATCTCTAGCTTACATATAGAATTTTGTTCACCTTCTTCTAACTTCAGAATGAATTTGATTTCTATCTCTTTTTCATTTGAACTTATTTGCTTTCTTACTTCACTTATAATTGTTTTTACTCTTTCTACGAAAAATGAACAAGAATTGTTAATAAAAATGAAAATAATACTATAATTTTTAAATGTAATTTTAATATGTACTAGCTAATACTAAATATTTCTGAAATATTCATAAAAGATTCCTAAAATAAAAAAAAACATTCCAAAAGTATTCTGGAATATAAATTTACAGATTTTAATATGTCATTCAACATTATTAAGATCATTTCGAAGATGTGAATAAGCATCAAAAATTTGTTAAATTGCTAGTCAATTTAACTCGTGATATTACTGTAGAGATAGCGTTTCAAGACCGAAAAATAATTTCGTCGTTCTTTTTCTAGGGATTACATACGTAGTACATAAATTCACATAAGCATTAAGATCCAGCTAGACTACTGTTTAAGATTTTAATTTCTATAGTTTGTGTTATCCCTATTAGGTGTTGGAATTAATTCGTAGCGTTTTTTAATGAAAGAATGTTATTTATTTCACATGAGCATTAAAAAATACATTAATGAAAGTACTTCCCATCACTTGTAAAACGCTACGAATTAATTCCAACACCTAATATAATATATTATATTGTTATTCTGGAATATCCCGAAATAATTAGAATGTTAAAATAACATTCAAATATCTGTTAAAAATTTCTGTTTCCTTAAATAAAAAAAATAACGCAGAATATATATATATATATATATATATTATTATTAATGCAAAAATGTAGAATTATTTATTAATTAAACATTGAGTAGATATAAAATACAACGATATTTTTGGAGAGATGAATTTACGTAACATTATAATCATATCACGGATATTATATCTTTTATAATAATTGCTCAATTATTTGTGCTAAGTTATTGAATGTATTGAAGAAGACCAAAAAAGTAGTAAAAACGTCTACGCGGTTTTATATTTTATATTCAATGTTCAATTGATAAATAATCTATTTTTGCATCAACATCTGCATTGACTCATAACGGCTTTCGAAATTGTAATATTTAACACTGCAAAACCACGGTTTGTGCTATTTTTGATCAATCTAACAATTTTTCTTTTCCAATTTATTTGAATTTGTACGTAGAGCTTTAGAGCTTTGTAACTCTTCATAAATAATCATAATTAATTTTACTTTTATGGTGACAACTCTCTCTCATAGAGAGACCTAGATTTACTTTGAATTGTGATTGGATTAACTTAGACTCACAGTTCTAATGTTAATAACAATACATATATTTATATTTTTTTAAATATATCTTCTATGTATTTACCTGTACTTGTACAATTTATTAAATTTTTAGTAGGTACTACATCTGGTTTTAAACGTACTCTTCTTGTAGTGTTGCTAAAATCTTCTAATTTAAAATGGATATCGCAAATTGCACTGTATTTGTTAGGTATAAATTTTTTCCGTCCGGTTGCTTCAATCCATTTAGCTGCTATACTTTCTATTTGCGGAAAACTGAAATGTATTATATTGAGTGTAAATACATTGTGTTTATTCAACAACTTAAATTCTATATTTAATCTAAATTTTATCTAAATACAATACATACATAAATTATTTATACCATTATGATCTTCATATTTATGTACAAATATAAGGTATGAGTGGTAGACTAAACATAATACAGTACTTCTAGGATTATATTTCAAGACATCTTCTCTGAAGAAAATTTTACTCAATATGGTTTAGCTGGTTTCCAAAAATCAATGAAATTAGGCTTATTAGATATATTTTTGTATAAAACAAAAGATCTGGCAGAAAAAAGCGTCGCCTGCGAATCAAGATATTATTTATTAGATTAATTATTAAAGTTGATAACTATTCAAGTTATGAAATCTGTCATATTGACTAAATATAATAAACTGCACATGTGCTGTGTCACGTTTGCTTGGTGACAATGATAATTTAATGATAAATAATTCTTTAATTAAGCAAAAACAATTTTTTTTATACAATTTAAATTGTAGCACAGAATAATTTATGATTCAAAAGTTTCAAAGTACAGGCAGCTAAACTGTATAATTACCCTTGATATAATATAGTATATAATACATGTATATAAGTATATTTCGAGTAAAAATTTTCTTTGGAAACATTTTGGAATATAGCCTATGTCATTAAAATTATATAATCTGATTTATACACATTTTTATCAATCATTAATTAAAACTTATTTTTTCTTAAATTTACCTAAACACATGAATCTTGTCTTTTCCTTTATTTCGATTTGGACAATTAAGTATCTCACAATGTTTTGTCATATTTTTTTAAAATTGTCGCGATATAATCACAATAAAAATATATTTATGTACATGTATAAGAGATGCTTTTTTTTTTGGTGATCCTTCTTTGGTTGGAGAGTTTTGAAAGAGCCTTCTACCACATCTATTGCCAGAGCAGGTCTCTTGCTTAACATTATTATCTCTCTAATATTCCATTTCGCACAATTCGCATATTTTTTCTTGATGCAAAAGTGCGCGTAAAGCAGGAATAAGCTTCCTTCAAATGGAAATACTATATGTGTTCAACCAGTCTTATAATTATGACACTCTTGTTCCAATGTAAAACTTCAGTATTTATTTAGAATACCTCCCCACTCCAAATCTTAGTAAAAATGAACTCATTCAACGCGAAACGAAAGAATCCAGCAGAAAAATGCGGCAGTCTGTCTCATAAAACAAGTTATCAAATATTAAAATTCAAGATTTTAAAGGTTAAGATATCCGTCAAACTCGACACATCAAAACATATTTTGATTGCGCGCGCACGCGCATTGTGCTGTAAGCCAATACCAACTACCAAGTGCATAAACAGATTATAAATCTAGTAACTTTAACTACAAATGAGTTGGATATGCCTGAAGTAAGCAGTAAGCACTACTACATTCTTGTTAGTTCATGATAGAGTTTAGTGAGGTTATCTAATCTAACACGTAGAGAACGTAGAGAAGGTACACAATAATATACGAACTGTTAAAATCATCTGGTATAATGTAAATATAATGAAATAAAACAATACAAAGAACAAAACGTTAATATTTCTAAAAAAAATATTTTAATTTATTGCAAAAATATCCTAATCATAGATATATTAAGTAGACATAAATGCTTGGTAATATTCTAATTTAAATATCTCTAATGGTAATTAATGCGATATAATGTATAATTTATAATGTTTAATGTAATAATGTCAAATTTAATCTTTATCTAATTACGAAAATATTAAAACGAGTAATAATTATCAGAAATCTAATTGTTGATTTGATTCTTCCCTTCTTCCTTCAGGGATTACCTAACCTAGCCAGGTTTTCTTCATAACAAGGACTTCTCAGTTTTGGATCAAAATGACAGCTATAAAAGTGCATGGTGGTATCGATATTTTAAGACTACCGGTAAATGAGGAGGAACATATTTGTCCTCCATGGCGTATCAAGTACACCCAGTCTCATATACTTCATTCTAAATGTTCCAAAAGCGAGAATGGCTGTGGTAACGACACAAATGCCTGTCAATTTTGCGTGTATGTTGTTCGTTAATCGTTATCTTAAAAATATTATAACATCAGAATTCTTAGAAATGCAATTCTTATTTTTACAGATACAATAATGCATTAGAATTGCCACATATGCCAGATATGGTGTTTCCCAATAATGTGTTATCTCTGAAGCATGAAGATGGAGCATTGCTGCAATTTAATGCTTTAGATGCTTTAAGATATGTTTCTAATGGAAAGATTAATGTACAGCTTGCTTGTGCAGAAGCGTGGAAAGAATCGAGGTATATATAATTCTAAACTTAATGGTCTGTATTCAGAATGCGCTTTTATCGACAAAAGCGTGCTTTTATTTCTGAAATTCTATAATAGACGTGACGTTAAGTATGTTAGCGCGCTAATATCATTGTATGCGTGTTTTGAATACAGGCCAATAAGTTTATGCAACAACTGTTGTTATAAATAATTTTAATTCATGTGTATATCAACAGATCAGAAAGTAGTGAATATTTAGAAGAAAAGATCAAACCTTTTGATTGGACATTTACTACTAATTATAGTGGTACAATATCCGGCTTCAAAATCGAAGAAACAAATGAGAGAATTGATATAGATAAATTAAGGCAGAGAGATAAGATTATGTTTTATCATGATTTAACATTATTTGAAGACGAACTTCATGATAATGGCATTGCTGTTAATTCAGTCAAAATTGTAAGTTATCTCACATACTTCTAATAACGTGCAGCAAAGTTAATCCTCTTAATTTTTTTTGTATAGAGAGTCATGCCTACCAGTTTTTTTATACTATTACGGTATTTTCTTAGAATCGATAATGTAATGCTAAGAATAAATGATACACGTATTTACCATGAATTTGGGAAAAATTATTTATTGCGTGAGTTTACATCACGAGAAGCTAAAGTTCAAGATATCCGTGTAAGTAATGCAGCATAATGATATTATATTCTGTATCGAATTTTAAATGAAGATTAAAAGCATTTATTTGTTTAGTATATTAAAGGTATATAAAAATGTAAGATGTCATATATCATTATTCTATTTAATTAACTTAAAATTGATAATAATTAAAGAACACTTTCCAGCAAGGAACACAGCATGTAACGCGGTGGATTATAGCCTTATTGTTTATCAATGTTAAACAAGGATGAAATAATTTACTGTGTTACATTGTGAATAGAGATGTGTGAACTATTTGAATATGAATCAAATCAAATAAGATTTGATTCAAATTTGAATCACTGATTCGAACATAAACTCTTCGAAAATTTCGAATTTATGACCAATATTAATAGTTGGTTCTTATTTTATGATCATCTTAAGTAATGTCTTAAGATGCTATAATGCTCTCTTATTGGTTCATAACATCTTAAGACACTCTCAAATATAAGAATCAGCTATGACTATCGGCTTGAGATATTTAAATATAAGAATACATATATTAATAATATAATAATTAACATATGTACATTAGGTTGACCAATGAGATTATAAATAATCTAGAATAATCTCTGAATTTGCTCACTTTTGTTATTTTCACCTCATTTCAAGATACACAATCAACTCCTAGATTCAATTCGAATTCGAAAAAAAGTTAGATTTAATTCAAAGTCAAAAAAAACCTTGATTCGCACATTTCTAACTGTCTATGTCTTGCTGAAAAATGCCTATGATCTGCAATTTTGACAAATGTATGGGTGATAGGAACTAAAATGTATTATTTCCTCGTAAGGTTTCCCCGGCACTTTTCTTGGAACCAAGTACGATAGCACCTCATTTGCCATTAATTGGAAGTCGATACGATAAGCTTATGGTACCTGAAAAAGAAGAAGTCAAATTAAACGAAGATACAGCTACACAAAATATGATTATGACTGAAACAAAATTAGTACATTCTGATGAACATACAGCAGACAGTTCTATTACTTAAATTTTGTGTTAAGATTTTGATGTTATATGACGTTATTTTTTCGATTGATGTAAAAAAATAATTGGGAATTCATTGTATACAAATAGATCATTGATTCTTGCTTCATCATTTGAATAAATATATTAAAAATTGAAAACAATGAAATAATTATACTGTTTCTCAAATCAATATTAAGAATTCACAATTGGTTTTAATCATGCTTGTCACTTTAGTATTATGTATTTTTTCATTTGATTTATAGTAAAAATTTTCTAAGTAAAACTGTTAACTTGTTTAACAATATTTTTTCATGAGTGAAACTGTATATATCAGTAATGAGAAAAACAATCTCTGACACAATCTTGGAATAACCTTGAGGACTAAAAATTACGTTTAAATAAAAATAAAATAGAAACAGCAGAACAGCGTTATGAAATTAAAAATGCTTATACTTCTATTTTAAAATAAATTTTAAAAAGTATAGTACAGAAAAATTATTTTATAATATAATATCAATATTTTAATTAATATATTGCGACTATTTTTATTATCTAATTTCATAAGATGCATTAAAATATAATTATGTTTTACTTTTTGGTTTCTTTTTTATTCAAATATATGTCGTATTAAAATCTCAATTTTAGCCTAGAAGTAAGTAAACAATTTTTTTTATCATCTTAAAATTTTTTGTCGAAAAGATTAATGTCTTAAATAAAGTTGAATAAAAAAAAACTAAAGTCGGATAAAGATCTCCCCATTGTTCCCTTTTATAGCTTGACCTTGAAAAGGTTAAATTTATTGCACATATCTTGCACACTAGAAAATCCTTTGCGTTTCATCTTGCTAATTCGAATTAGCGAGAAATCTCTCATCGATACAATATTTTTTCATTAAGAACTATGTAAAAACATTTACACATTCATAAATCATTCAATCAATCAATAGGCCCTGGATTAAAAGGATATCTGTCTGGAGAATAAATATTGAAGAGACCATGGCTGGGCCATAGTCTCGGGTAAGACTTTGATTAGATTCCAGGCGAAGGGCTTTGGCCCGACGTATTCCGCCATAAACACCATCGTGACCTCCTCAGTCCTCTTCCCCATCGACCAAGTAGAAAATAAATATCAAAGGGAATAGGAGCGAAGGAAGGAGAGATCGAGAGGGAGTTGACCGATCGTGGCTTTCGGGGTGGGCCGTCTTCCACCGTACGATGGTGTTTATTCGCGGGCGCAAAAAACTTGGTTGAATTCCATCGCACGGGTCGACGGCGAGGAGGGTGAGAGGAGAGGAAGAAGGAGAGAAGGCGAGGCAAGCGGCAGCGCGAGGAAGAGGAAGCTGGAGAGAGGAGAAGGAGGAAGAAACGCAACAAGAGCAAGAAGCAAGGAGGTCGTCGACGACAGCAATCTCTCGTGAGTAGGCTTATCCCATTGCCGTCCCACCTTATAACGCTCTCACACGCTACCAGCGGGTGCGTAGGTGTTTCCGGCCGGCTGAAGAAGCACGGCCGTCTGCGCCCGTCGATCCAGAAGAGGACGGTCGAAGCGGGATAGAGAGACGAGGAGAAAGAAAGAGAAGAGGAGGACGAAGAGGAAAAGAGATGGAGTGATGACGAAGTGGTAGCGAGAGAATGGAAGAGCATAGAGGAGGAGGGTCTTTGAGGGAGCGAAGAAAACAGAGAGAAGGATAACGAGAGGAGGGGAGGTAGAGAGAGAGAGAGAGAGAGAGAGAGAAAGAGCTCCGGTCGAGAGATAGAGAACACTCGGCCGGAAGCAGTTACTCGCACGATGCAACGAAAATATCAGGGCGTCCGTTTCGCAATAGGTCTGCCCGCGTCCGCCCGGAGTTTAATATAGAACACTCGCGGCCGGCTCCGTCGCGAAAACATCACGCTGACGTCGACCGTACGCGAGTTCCTTCTCTCTCTCTCTCTCTCTCTCTCTCTCTGTCTCTCTTTCTTTCTCGCTCCCCAGTTCTCTACTTCGTTCACCCAAGAAAAACGTCTCCTTCTTTCCGCTCGGCCCGTCGCGGCCGCTGGCTCTCCCGGCCTTCTTCTTCTTCCTCCCTTCGGTTGGACGGACGCGAAGCGCGGGGCCCCTAAAATTAGGCTCATGTCCACTCGCTCAGCGTGCCACCGTCGCCGCGGATGACATCCGCGCCGGAGAGTCGGACTCGTCGAAGGTCTTTGTCCGTGACAGTGGTGTGTGCTCGCGGTGGCACGCAGCGACCTTTGAATAGTAAAAACAAGAAGGCATCAGCGGTAGCGATGAGGGAGGAGGGCGAGGATTCCGTCACATTCCCTTCCGTCCTCCGACCCCGATATATTGCAAAACGGA